GGCCCTGCGGGCGGGGGCGGGACCAGCCTGCGCTGCCGGGGCGAGCGCTGCTGTGGAGCCCGGCGAGGGACCACCCCCCGCTGCCGGCAGCCCCAGCCCCGACTGCATCACCCCGCGCAAAGGCACTCCCCACTCGCCGGGCAGATGCTCTCTTTTAGGAGACCCACGCAAACAAACAAACAAACAAACAAAGTCTTAAATTGCAAGCTTTCGGGGCACGAGCACCCCTCATCAGGCACCAGGGGTGTAGTCGTATTGGTCTGGAGGAAAAGGCAATCCGGACTGGTAGGAGAGAGATCTTTTAGGAGACCAACACGATTTTTGCAAAAATATATATAAATAAAAAGTTTTTCATTGCAAGCTTTGGGGCATAAACGCCCTTCATCAGGCACTGGGTTGTAGCGGTATTGGTCTGGAGGAAAAGGCAATCCGGACTCATAGGAGAGATGGTCTCTTTTAGGAGACCAACAAGATTTTTTTTTTCTTTTTAAAAATGTCTTTAATTGCAAGCTTTCGGGCACAAACACCCTTCATCAGGCACCAGGTTGTAGTCGTATTGATCTAAAGGAAAAGGCAATCAGGACTGGTAGTAGAGATTATATCTTTTAGGAGACCAGCAAGATCTTTGCAAAAAAAAAAGTCTTTAATTGCAAGCTTTGAGGCACAAACACCTTTCATCAGGCATATATACACTTTCATTTCTACTCAGGAGAACTTTTACAGTCTTTTCTCCAATGCCTGATGAAGCTTGCAATGTGTGCCCGAAAGCTTGCAATTAAAGACATTCTTCTTTGCAAAAATCTTGTTGATCTCATAAAAGATAGCATCTGTCCTACGAGTCTGGATTGCCTTTTCCTCTAGACCAATACGGCTACAACCTGGTGCCTGATGAAGGGGGTTTGTGCACAAAAGCTTGCAATTAAAGAATTTTTTTTGCAAAAATCTTGTTGGTCTCATAAAAGATACCATCTCTATTATGAGTCTGGATTGACTTTTCCTCTAGACCAATGCAGCAACAACCTGAATACCTCACACATGGAAGATATCGAATTTTAGCCAATTTTTAAAAATGAAATCTTCATATTTTCCCAAGCAGGAAGCAACTGTGACCACCTGAAACCTGAGATCCTGCTCCTGCCTTTGTTTCAAGGTCATTTGCATCATCACAGATCCTCGCAGGAGGTGAGGAGGTTCATACCAGCTATCAACTGACTGCCCAGAGGAGTTTTCCATCTATTGACTCCTCTGTGAAATGCTATGAAATATGAACTTTCATTTCTACCCAGGAGAACTTTTACAATCTTTTCTCCAGTGCCTGATGAAGGGTGTTTGTACCCAAAAGATTGCGATTAAAGAAATTTTTTTTGCAAAAATCTTGTTGGTCTAATAAAATATATCATCTCTACTACGAGTCCTGATTGCCTTTTCCTTGAGACCAATATGGCTACAACCTGGATGCCTCACCCCAGGTATGGCTTTGTTCAGCCGCACCTCAAGGAGGGAGACTCCACCACCTCTCTGGGGAGCCTGTTCCAGAGCTTTGCTGCCCTCCTCCTGAGAGGTTTTTTTTCTAATATCCAACCTAAACTTCACCTGCTGCAGCCAGACCATTGCTCCTTGTTCTGGTATCTGCCACCACTGCAAACAGTCCTCTTTTGAACCATCCTGCAGGTAGTTGAAGGCTGCTATTAAATCCCCTCTCAAGCTCTTCTTCTCTAAACTAAATAAGCCCAGTTCCTTCAGCCTCACCTCAGACGTCATATGCCTCAGCCCCCCAAACCATTTTCATTGCCCTCCGCTGGACTCTGTCCAATTTATCCACATCCTTTCTGTAATGGGCACAGGACAGCTCAGTGTGCCCCTCTCCAGGACAGCTCCAAGCCAGGCACCCAGCTAAGCCACTTGGACAGGACATAAGGCAAAGAGCAATTCTCGCCAGTCCAAACCAGGCTTCAGGAAGGTCGCTAGGCTGGTCCTTGGCACCCCTGGCACTCGCACTCTGGCCATTTTCCCCGGATTAAGGAGGCAATGTAAGTGGAGAAGCCCTTGAAGGGTGTGAGGCTGCAGAAGCACTGAATGGCTTGGAGCAGGGGTTCCCAACGTTTCTGTGCCCAAGGACACATTCGAATTTAAAAGAAATAGCAGTGCCAATATGAATATGAAAGTTTAGAATTTAGATCAATCCGATCATCTCATCCATTACTTAAAATTGCATTAGATCCGCAACTTCAAACTGCAGCTTTCCTTTTCTTACAAAAATATTTAGGTAAAAAATATTTGTTGGAATAATGATTTTTACTGATCGTGAAAATGCACCCAGGCACCTGAATAAACCTCGGGGCAGGGGCACTGCTGCTTAGAGTGATCTCTTAGGGTGATCTCTTTAATTGGACGAGCTATATATTTGGGATAGACTTACACCAGCTTTTGAATCTTAGAAGAGAGTGCAACTTCTACCAGGACTCTTCTTTCCCATAAAATAGATGAGTGAGGGGAAAGAGAGTCCTGTAACAGACATCCATGCAGTGGAGCCTCAGTCATAGGAAGGGAGAAAGTCTTATTTGATTCATTTTTAAGGCAGATTTTTTTTTAAAAACATACAGTGTACTAGGAAGAAAAAACTAGGTGACAGTCATGACAGGTGATGGGAATGAGCAGATAGTCACCCTGGATGAGAGGGCAGTAACGCCAAATTCTATTTTCACTAGAGACACTAATACCCGTTTATCAAGTGAAGTACAGCACCGATTTCCAGTTTATAATAACCTATTCAATTTTACTAGGTTGCATTTTCTGCTGTTTGTTTGTTTTTTTAAGTAAAGGATGAAAGGTCTAAATCATCTGAACAGGAGCCAAAGTGGCAAGGACAGTGGGGCTGGCAGAGGCTGGAAGTTGAGGCAGAACTTGTTCATAGCATTTTTGGCAGCTTTTTGAGGAGTGTCCTTCACCTCGTGACCTCCCTTCTGTGTTGGACGTCCTTCCAGTGAACATCTACCTGAAATCTCATTCCAACTCTCCCTCACCAAAATGTCACAGCAAGGGAATAAGCACCTGGTAGTTTGTACTGATGATTATAGGTCTATGGTCCTAGAACGAAATGTTTCTGTCACCTGTCTCAATTTTCTAGTGGCTTATATAATCATCTTGCTAAGCATATTATGATACAGTCTTTACCTCTACCTGATTTTCAAGATCTTTCTGGGACCTGTCACCTGCTAGAAAGAGTCAAAATAAATCCCTGGATGCAAATAAAGCCCTGTTTCAGCAAAGCACGTAAAGTACAACTTTAAGCCCTTTCCTGAATTAGAACGCATTAGAGAAAATACACACTTGGCCAGTTAGATGCAGCTGTTTCCTTACCATCTGCATGGTCGGGCTGCTTTCAGTATGCTTGGTTGTTTTCAGCAGATTCTCTCTTCATTTCATTTATTTTATTTACAAAGGGAAATATCAAATTCAATATTTTGCAGCAATTGTGGGAACTGATAAAACTATATAATCTTAAACACTAAGGGTTAAAGCCTGACTCCATCAAAGTCAACAGGAGTGTTTTAGTTGGGAATGATAGTCACATTTTTCTGTGTCTGTATAGATAATTACACTGGAGCAGAAATTAGGGAAAATATACTTGCTGTGTGAAGAGGCAGAAAAGACAAGTCTCACCCCATGATACATTGTGGCAAAGTAATGCATCTTGCTAGACCTACATCTTTTCCGGCATTAACGAAGCTCAAAACAAAAGTTTGTTTCTTTTTCAATAATTTCCAGCTCGGACCAACAGCAGGTCCATATCCTTTTAGGTCTTTATTAGCTGAACTTTGATATAGTTAGGTTTTAAACTTGTTACTCTGATAGCAGCTAGAAGACTGCCCTCACTTCTTTTCATGTGGACCACTATCACCTTGTTCCCTTGCCTGTCTGCTGTATCAGAAGAGACCTCATAAGGTCATCTAATCCAGCCTTCTGCCCAAGGCAGGATCATCCCTGACTAAACCATCCCAGCCTAGTGTCTGTCCAAAGTCATATGGAGTTCTTTAATGCTACAAGAATGACCTGAGAAAAAGCAAAAGATCAGAAGTTCCCTGAAAAGTCTCAGGGCACATATCCATTTCCATTTAAAAAAAAAAAAAAGAAGTGGCTCCCAGTAGATACTATTGACATCTCAGGTCTGTCAAAAAGAAGTCATAATATTGTTCCTTAGGCTTCTTGCCAGAAATCTTACATCCTCATGGTTGTCTCCTTTATATGTTCTTTCAAACCCCAAGCAAAAAGTTGCAAGGGTATATTTCAGAGCCTCAAACCATACCCATGAGTTTGGGTTGCCCAAAAAGGGAGTGTGCATCTGACACACTTCTTTACCTATGAAGACAATCCAAGTCACAAGTCACTAAATATCTCAGGGTGGGGAGATGGGGGGGATAATAACTGATTTATATTCAAAACTATTAAAAATGTCTTTTTCTTGCCTTTCTATTCATTTAACTTCTCTTTGAGAAGCCAGTGTTGAAGTGAGAAAAAGTCCTCAATGCAGAACTCACATGAACATCAATAGATCTGACAAGCATGCAGAACAAATATGCCCTGGATATAAATGCCATTGTGTTTGCTTTGGCTTCTTTATGAGAACAGATTCTTTATCACACAACACATTTGTGACCACCGAGTAGAGATGAGTGATTCATTCATAGCATGTTTGACAGATGTAGTCTTCTGCTCTGTCCCCAAGTTTATTCAGGATCATTTTGTTCAAATATACACATTGTTCAAAATCAATCTGGATAACGTGTACCATTAATTTTGCTGTTTAAACTGCCCGTAAAATGTTTAATGCGAGTATTTGAAATCTGAAAATGGGAAAATGATGGTT